GGCTTGTACAATGGTTGTTTAAATTCTTGAGAACAGCAGGATTGGGGGTGGAAGAAGGAACATTTCTTAGAAGAGGTTAAAATTATGTAGTAGTGAGATGTATCGTTTTTGAAACCATATTCCAGATGAAAAAGTACAGAGAGAAACGCTTAAAATTGCAGCCTTGCCTTCTGATCTTTCCACTAAATGATATAATCATTGGCTCACATCATTCCAGTGAATCTTTTTCTTTTTCCTTTTGCAGTCGTGTCATTTCCTGTCAGTACAGGAAATGTGGGGAGGACAGGTTCTGGCTAAAGATCACTGAGCCTCTTCTGTAGGTTGAAATGGCTACTTTACCGAATTCTGTATCTGATTCCGTGACTGCCCTCAGCTGAGGTCTCAGTTAAGCCAGGTAGCTCTTATCACTCTCGGTCTTACCGACAAGAATGTGGAGGCTCCACGGGGTTGGATGATTGGTCCAAGGGCAAACACCACATGGGAGAACTGGCCCTAGAATGGAGTGTTGGGCCGTCTTCTAAATGTGTCTCATGTGACTCATTGAGTTCTTTAGAGATGAGGAAAACCCACTCCCTTTAAGGGCTCACAGCCTGAACTCAGCACCTGCCTAACACCCCCATTTGCGTCAGGATCGTCTCATACCTCGTACTTTCCTATTTTCGGGTCCCTTACTCCTTTTGTTCTTTTTGTGCATGGCCTGACACCTCATCATGTCAGAGAGACGATGTTTTCCTCTTTCTCATCAAGTCACTAGATTAACATCAGAAAGAGATGAGGTAAGGAGCAGACTCAGGCTCAGTCCTTGGCCCTGGTTTTAAAGACCTCTTCACCCCAGCTTCCCCCTCTCCTGGGCTGGAGTGCAGGTTTACTAACGTTGAGAGCATGCTGACTGTGGTTAAAGATGCCAGCAGTAGGGCCAGTCGTGTTGGCTCACACCTGTAATCCCAGCACTTTGGGAGACTGAGGTGGGAGGATTGCTTGAACCCAGAAGTTTGAGGCTGCAGTGAGCTGTGATCATGCCACTGTGCTCCAGCCTGGGCAACAGAGCAAGATCCTGTCTCCAAAAAAAAAAAAAAAAAAAGTCATCGGTAAACTACTTGGTACGTAAAGGCCTCCAAAAGTGACACTTGAAAGGAAAAGACATGTAAATATGGCCTTATTTATCTATACCCACAAACATGTATTAATGCTGTTATATGTTGGTGTTCGTTAGAACCTGACAGAATTAAAGAAAATAGAATGCTTAGATCAGTGGTTCTCAACTTGGAGGGATTTTGCCTCTCAGGGGGCATTAGGCAATATCTGGTAACATTTTTGGCTGTCACTACTGGGGGAGGGATGCTACTGGTGAGGCCAGAGATGCTATTCAACATCCTGTAACACACAGGACAGCCCCCAGAACAAAGAATGATCCAGCCAAAACCGTCATGGTGCCACTGTTGAGAAACCTTGGTTTAGGTCAAAAGCCAGTAAATTAGCTACTGATTAAATTTGATGCATGCCATTAGCAAACAGGGCTAGGAAGATCAAAGATCCCAGGCTAGCCATAAACCTGGAGCTAGATACGTTTTTCCTATTTGGGATTGAGATAGATTATCCCTATTTGGTATTAAGGATAAAGGGTAGATCATTTTATGGATCCGTATAATACCAAAAGAAATACGTTTTTTTCTTTATAGTATTATGGGGAGTTAACTTTTAAGGTAATCAAAACTAGGCTTTGTTTACAGAGCCACTGCTAATTTTTATTCACTCGGGCCTTTTTCTCTTGCAGTTCTGAATCAGCCAGGGGCCCCCAAAACCCAGATTTTTATGAATGGCGCCTGCTCCCCATCTTTATTGCCAACGCTGTCAGCGCCAGTGCCCTTCCCTCTCCCCGTTGTTCCCGACTACAGGTGAGCCGCCCTTTGCATCCCCATCTTAGAGCTACCACTGCTCTTAGCTTCTAAAATTAGCTTTTCACAGAAACGAATTCCGGAAAATATAGAGGTTTATTTTTCATTTTAAGGTTAAGTTTCACGATTACACATTCCTATTTATTTTTGTCCAAAATGGAAATCACTTTTAAACTAAGAATTTTTAAAGTACATAAAATTTACATATGCATATGTATGTGTGTATATATGTGTGTATGTATAAAATATAAAGAAAATTTAAAATTTCTTGGGATACCACCTAGAGATAGCCAATTAAACATTTAGGGTCATGCACTCTATAAAAGTCATATGTGGGTATGTGAACACACATACATACAGTATAAACACACCCATTTGATACAAACATCCACAAATACTATATATATATATATATATATATATATATATATATATATACTCATTGAATGGACATATTGCCATGCCAGTAAATACCGATCTGTATTCTAATAGTTGTGTAGCATTCGGTGGTATGGACTTACCATTGTATTGATCTCCTATTTAACATTAGGATTCTTTTGTTTTTGTCTATAAAGTCTTTTTTGTTAAAATTGTAAACCCCTGACTTGTGTTCCTGTCGTTCAGCTCCTCCACATACCTCTTCCGGCTGATGGCAGTTGTCGTCCACCATGGAGACATGCACTCTGGACACTTTGTCACTTACCGACGGTCCCCACCTTCGGCCAGGAACCCTCTCTCAACCAGCAACCAGTGGCTATGGGTCTCCGATGACACTGTCCGCAAGGCCAGCCTGCAGGAGGTCCTGTCCTCCAGCGCCTACCTGCTGTTCTATGAGCGCGTCCTTTCCAGGATGCAACACCAGAGCCAGGAGTACAAGTCTGAAGAATGACTGCTGTCCTGTGAGGCTAGAGCCGATGGCAGTGTCTGCACTGTCCTGGAAAAAAGTAAAACTTACTGTGTGTGCAAGCAGCCCCATTAGAGCTTTCCAGCCTTTCGGTGTGTTCTAAGAGCAGGCTCCACCTGGGAGCCAGCCCCAATTCATACCCAGTCAGGCTCCCTGAACAGCTCTGCTCATGTGTGTACATGGTACCATCATGTTAAGAAAGCATTCGTTATGGCTAGAGTGTCTTTTTACTCATCTGATACAGGTAATTTAAAAAATTCAGATTCTTGAAGCTGCTCTTTTCATATTGTAATGTTAGGTGTTCTCAGAGGGGAGGTACCTTTGTCTAATCCTCCCACATTTCCACATAGATCTTTTATTTTTAATAAGCAGGCCCATTAAAAATTGTTGACAAGAATTAGTGAAATTATTAAAGGCAAGAATTTAGGAGAAAAAGTGCCTTTCACTTTCGATTGCTTTTGTAACACGTCCATTCTGAAATATTCCTTCCAGGTCACTCAAAGGACAGCAAGAGAACAGGTCAAAGTTGCCTAGAGAACACCTTCCTTTTTCTATGCCTTTTCTAACCTTTCCATTCTTTCTATGGAGTCAATGTTCATTTGCCAAATCTGCCCCCTGGGGAAACTCTTTCACTACTTTGTCAGTTATAAGTGAAAAGCTTACTCGTTGCTTTGATCTTTTGTATACTGGACTGAAATGTTCTTATAGTGTATTATAAAACTGTGAATAGCCAGAACTGAGCAGTATCTTTGGAACACCTGATTCCTCTGCTGTGGAAAACTCTTTCTTACACAAGGATCCACCTTGGATGGTTACTTTCATCTGTTTATTTATTGCCATGCAGAGCTCTTAAGGTTTTCGGGTAGGAGCTTGTATAAAAAGACAATCCCTGCCCTGAGTTGAGAGCTGGCTTAGGAAGGAAGGGCTGACCATGGGGCTGCAGTCTCCCTGGACCTCAGTTTTTTCATTTGAGAAGTGAAGGGTTAAAGTTGACGACCAGCCCTTTCCACAAAAGAAGAAAGCAGCTTTTGACTTTTCAACAGGTAACTACAGCAGGCATCTAGTATTGTCATGTTGCCCTAGGTCCATATTCTAAATTTATTCATTTCCAGTAGCCTAATACAAAGAGTATGTATTGAGCACTTTCTTCCCTTTTCAGATAAGTCTCTGAATGCAGCCCAGGGCCAAAGGAATTTTGATGACACAGTAGTACCTATGTTTTAAGCTAGATTTTTAATTTAAAAAAATGGGTACCAAATTCAAACCGACTCATCAGAGATAAGATTTGGAATCAGACCTATCCAAAAGGTCCCCTGAGGTGAGGCTAAGACCTGTGCTTCCTCGGCTGGGGGCGAGCTGGCAGACACACCAAACAGTGCCTTGGCAGCAGCTCATGGTGCAGGAAGCCCTGGTGATCACTTGTCTGCTGGGCCCAGACGACACCCTGAGGACTCAGTAACTCTTGCTCTCAACAGAATAGACTATGTAGGCTCTCCAGGCCCTGGGCGCCGGGGTGGAAGGGGCAGCTTGAACTATGTGTCCGTTCTGCACTCGCCCACTGCAGACCTTGGCTTTGATGTTGAAATGAACGCACCTGTTTTACCCAAGTCTGGTGGAACAAATGCCCAATCATGTGACCTTAAAGTATACTGCAAAGCTGTAGCTTTGAGTGATTGCTGTTCTGCCACTGCTAACTCTTTGAAATCTACCATTAAAGATGGAGAAAAGGAGCTGAGCCTTGGAACACGGTTGTAAGCAGATCTTTCCTTGCTCAGAGGCCAGGGTTTCAGCCAAGGCTGTAAATGTGAACAATATCTGTGCAAAGTCTTTTAACCTGACTTCTTTTGTAAATTATTAGGCATTAAGTAGCAGCCCAATAATCTGATTTCTAGTTTTAAGTTATTTTCAAAGTAAGTAGTTCTTTTGGGGAAAACCTAAGTTAAACTAGTAGTTTTTGCCATAATAACTGCTTACATATGTATTTGCTAAAGGTACTTTTCTATCTGCTGTGTATTATAGCAATAAAATAATCATTTTGTTAGGAAAAAAATCACTTAGTTTTCTTTTGTAATGCACTGATCCGTTACAAACATCATCTTTCTGAATTCTGCATTGTTACATAAATGCTTTAAACCTTTCTGTTCCTGTTGGTAAAGGAAATGCCAGCTCCCTCTTGGAGTCAAGAGAGAAAGAGAAAAGAGAACTGTTAAAAACATTTTTATTTTTTAGTAAGCAAAATTTTACGAAACGTCAGATTGACCCGTGGAGCCAGAACCTTCTTTCTCACAGGAAGACTGTGGTACCAGTGCGTGTTGGTCGGGTGGTTCATCATGAGTAAGCTTCCGTGGGCCAGCGGCAGCCTGACCACCGCCACCCTCCGCGAGGGGCTTTTCCCACGGGAATCCTTATGCCGGAAGACAAAGTCTCTGCAGGCACCGAAGGAGACAGAGGCGATGGGGCTCCCAGGGGCCAGTTCTCTTTCATCGTCTCGGTGCTCCCCGATGTGGTCACAGCCATCTTTATACCTGCAATGAAAAAAGAAGCCCAGTGCATGAAAACCACTGTCTCCTGAAATGCCTGCACTGCCAGCCCTCGTTTGCTCACAGTGTGAAACTGCGCTCTGTGCGGTTGTCTGTGCCGTGTTTCTGCAAGGGCCTGAGGTCCACAGCGGGCTCTTAGATGAGCCAACCCTGATGGGCTTTGTTGACCTATTTGTTCATGTGACTTATTTATCATTTATTTATGAGACAAGGTCTCACTCTGTCACCCAGGCTGAAGTGCAGTGGCACAATCATAGCTGACTGCAGCCTTGACCACCTGCGCTCAAGTGATCCTCCCACCTCAGTCTCCCACCTAGCTAATATTGTTCTTTTCTAGAAACAGGATTTTGCCATGTTACCCAGGCTGGTCTCAAACTCAGGCTCAAGCGATCCACTGTCCTTGACCTCCCAAAGTGTTCGGATTACATGCATGAGCCACCATGCCTGACCAGTTCATGTGCTTTAAAACTGAAACACCCTCTCGGAAAACTGACACAAGAACAGAAAGCCAAATACCACGTTCTCATTCATCGTAGGGTGTTAAACAATGAGAACACATGTGCAGAGGGAGGGGAACATCACACACTGGGGTCAGTTGGGGGGTGGCTAAGGGAGGGACAGCAGGGAGGTGGGGAGGGTAGGGAGGAATAACACGGGGAGAAATGCCAGATATAGGTGATGGGGGGATGGAGGCCGCAAACCACCTTGCCATGTATGTGCCTGTGCAACAATCCTGCATGATCTGCATATGTACTCCAGATCCTAAAGTACAAAATAAATAATTTTAAAATTTAAAAAAAAAAAAAAAAAGACTGAAAACACCCAAAGTCAAAATCACATCTTACTGTAGCCCCCCTGGCTGATCTATGTAAGCCTTTATCACGTGATTTCGCCCTACATTTAAAGGCCACATTCCTTGCACGGTCTGGCCCATGCCCACCTCTGAGCTCATGCCATCTCCTTCTTTCCCTCATTCACTGCTTTCCGGCCATCCCAGCGGGATTTCTGCTTCACACTCCAGAGTCCCTCTGCTCTTCCTCCAGATGTCTGAGGCTGGCACTCTCCATTTAGTTACCAGCTCAAACGCACTGCCTCAGCCCTCCTCTAACCACTCCATCTAAAGTGACCTTCCCTTAAATCCACCCAGGGTTCTCCGCTAGGGTGATTCTGTCCCAGAGGACAGGTACTGGGAGTGGCGAACACTACTGGCATTTAGTGGATGGAGGCCAGGGATGTGCTCAACATCCTGCAAGGCACAGGTCAGCCCCAACAACAAAGAATGATTGGGCCCCAAACGTCCACAGTGCTGCCGCTGAGAAACCTTGCCCTAAACACAAATCTCTCATCCATCCTCAGTCAGACTGGCCTGTTTTAATGTTTTGTAAGATGCTTATCGCTGTCTGAAACTGTCTAGGGTCAGGCATGGTGGCTCACGCCTGTAATCCCAACAGTTTGGGAGGCCAAGGTGGGAGGATACTTGAGCCCAGGAGTTTGAGACCAAGCCTGGGCAACACAGAAAAACCCTGTCTCAAAAAAAAGAAAAGAAAAAAAGAAAAGAAGAAAGTGTCTCGTTTGACTGTATGTTCAGGAGTTAATCGCCTCTCACTTCCTACTCCAGGAAGACTGATGCTGGCGCTGTTCCAGTCCTAGAGCCCCGGTGCACTAAAGAATGATGTGTACCAATGAACCAAATAGGGTGGAAGCCTAAACACTTCCTTTCGGAAGAGATAGAAGCCTTGAAACATTGAGTCCACTGAACAGACAGGGTGTCGTCACCTGTTGATGAGCACAAAGTTGAAGGTCTCTCCAGTCACCACAGAGACGCGATCCCGGATGCGCTCTAGAACTGGGATCCACGGCTTTGGAGACAGCGTGAGGCCTGAGAATGTGTAGGTCAGCCCAGCGTCGCCATACGTTGCCTGCTTCCTGGGCACACTGTGCCACTTCCCAAACACCTGGACCCTGGCCAGCACCCCTGGGCAGAGGAAACATGGCAGTTCCTTTCCTCCTGACACCCCCTCCAGAAATGCAGATAGCACTCCCACCGCCACCACCAGAAATCCAATGCCCAACACACGATCCCTGGGTATTGCAGTAAGACAGGAATAACATTTCCCTGTCATTCCATGCATTTCTTTTTTTTGAGACAGTCTTGCTTTGTCACCAGGCTGAAGTGCAATGGCGCAACTTCAGCTCACTGCAACCTCCGCCTCCTGGGTTCAAGTGATTCTCCTGCCTCAGCCTCCTGAGTAGCTGGAATTACAGGCATGCGCCACCACCATGCCTGGCTAATGTTTGTATTTTTAGTAGAGACGGGGTTTCACCAGGTTGGTCAGGCTGGTCTCAAACTCCTGACCTCATGATCCACCTGCCTCGGTCTCCCAAAGTGCTGGGATTATAGGCGTGAGCCACCGCGCCCTGCCTTTCCATGTTATTTAAACCCCTCCTCAATCATCATTTTGGCTTGCCCCAAATTTTCTTTTGTTTTGAGATAGGGTCTCCCTGTGTCACCCAGGCTGGAGTGCGGTGGCAACCTCAGCTCACTGCAACCTCCACCTTGCAGGCTCCAGCAGTCTTCCCGCCTCAGCCTCCTGAAAAGCTGGGACCACAGGGGCATGCCACCGTGCCTAGCTAACTTTTTTTGTATTTTTTTGTAGACACAGGGTTTTACCATGTTGCCTAGGCTGGTCTTGAGCTCCTGGGCTCAAGTGGTCGACCCACCTCGGTCTCCCAAAGTGCTGGGATTACAGGTGTGCACCACTGCACCCAGCCAATTGCCCCAAACACTCATGTAAGAAGAGTGAGTCTTGTCCTATCAGTAGGGAAACATGGTCCTGGGCTATTGTTTTAGTAAACACTAACAACTGCCTTAACTACAGTAAGAGCAGAATAAAGAGGCTGAAATTGGAGACAATAAAGTCAGTTTACAGGCTAGGATGGTTTTGCCAGCTGTGGGGACTAACGGGGTATGGTCCCATTAAAAATGGGGCTCACATAGCTGGGGTTTCTTGTAGGCATATCTTTTTTTAGAGAGATGTGAGCCAGGTGTGCTGGCTCATGCATGCAGTCCCAGCACTTGGAGAGGCCAAGGCAGGAGGACCACTCAAGACCAGGAATTTAGTTAACAGCCTGGTCACAGTGAGGCCTACAAATAAGTTAAAAATTATCCAGGCTGGTGGCATAGGCCTGTGGTCCCAGCTACTTAGGATGCTGAGGCAGTCAAGGCTGCAGTGAGCCAGGACTGTGCCTCTGCCCTCCAGCCTGGGCGACAGAGTGAGACCCTGTCTCAAGGCATAAAAGAATAAAGCGACGAGGGGTCTTGCTATGTTGTCCAGGCTGGACTTGAACCCCTGGCTTCAAGTGATCCTCCCGCCTCAGCCTCCAGAGTAGCTGGCATTACAGGTGTGTGTCACCATGCCTGGTGCGTGGGCTTTTCTTTTCTTGTTTCGTTTTGAGACCGAGTCTCACTCTGTTGCCCAGGCTGGAATGCAGTGGCACGATCCCAGCTTACTGCAACCTCCGCCTCCCGGGTTCAAATGATTCTCCTGCCTCAGCCTCCCGAGTAGCTGGGACTACAGGTATGTGCCACCATGCCCAGCTAATTTTTTTTTTTTTTTTGTATTTTAGTAGAATTGTATTTTAGGGGTTTCACCATGTTGGCCAGGCTGGTCTGGAACTCCTGACCTCAAATGATTCACCTGCTCAGCCTCCCCAAGTGCTGGGATTACAGATGTGAGCCACTATGCCCCGCTTCCTGTGGGCTTTTCTATGCCTCTCTGCCAGGTCCTTGTGCCCTCACTACAGGGTACAGCCGTGGTTCTCAACATCTGCTCCCCGGGCCAGCAGCACCAGCAGCACCAGCAGCACCTGGAATCTCCTTAGAAACTAAACCACAGGGGTGGGGCCCAGCAACCCAAGTCCTGCCAACAGCAAGTCCACCAGGTGATCCTGAGAACCACTGGCGTAGAGAAATTACCTGGTTATTTGCTATCTCTCCCATGAGATCAGTGATTCGCAACCCTGACTACCCATGAGAATCACCTGGAAGCTTTTTAAAAACATGAATGGGCAGCCGGCACTTGCAGCAATTCTGATTGAAGTGGTCTGCGGTAGAACCCAGCACGTTTTTTCACTTTGTTTTGTAAATTTTTCCAGAAGATGCTAATCAGTAGCCAAGTGCAGATTCACTTGAGTCATGTATCGGCCCCAGTGGACAGGCAAATCCAGGTTTTTTCAAGTTTATGTCCTAAGCATGTAAGGGGCTTAGCCCAGAGGTGCTCAAAGAATATTGGTTGGTTGAATCCATTAGTGAACCCATCAGTGAATAACAGATCCGGAGTTCAGATTTCTCCAAACATACGATCATTAATTGCACCAAACAAGCCCTCAATACACACACACACACACACACACACACACACACACACACACACACACACACACACACACACCCCGCTTACCTGTAAAATATTCTACTTCTTTCTCCAACTCTTGGAAAATCTCATCTGCCTCAGCTTTGCCGAACAGCACTGTGTAACTGCAGTTCAGGCCCTCCGCCCGAACATACCGCCAGCTGGGGCCTGTGGAGTGGCCTCCATTCTCCGGGGCCTCTCTCCTGGGCCTCTTCCTTGTGCTTTCTTGGTCTCCTCCCAACACAAGGGGCTCTTCTCCAGTTGCCTCTTGCTCCTCCCGCTTCCTCAAAAGGCCCCCTTCAGCCCCTTTCACCAGGAATCTATCCATCCCGTCCCCACAGGAAAGAAGGGACGTCAGTGGTAAGGCCAAGACAGAGATTGCTCAAGTTCTGTCCTCCATGCAAAAATCAGTTTGTCCAAGGGGTCTCACAGCAACATTCCTAGTTCTACGTTTTCATTTTAAAGTTTAAAACCACGTCCTAGAAAGGAAGCAGATGTTAAAGCCGGAAGGGACCCTCCGGACAATCTGATCCAGGGTCTTTCACGTCTACCTGTGCATCAGAATCAGCTGGCTTGCTTGCAGAAACCCAGAGCTCTGCACTCCACGCCCAAGCACCTTAATTGTTAAAGAATCCCCCGGGAATTCGCAAACCACAGCTAAACTTAGAAACTACAATCCAAGCCCTCATTTTGCAGAAGGGGAAACTGCTGCCCAGAGAAGGAAAGGAGTTTGCCCAAACTCAACGGGTTACCCCTTTTAAGAAGAAGGGACCCGTAAATGACCTCGCGGCCCCGCACCAGTGTTAAAATAGGTCTCGTGATGCTCAAACAGAGACGATTCACAAAGGAGAAGCAAAGCGGTAAACACGGGTAAACCGCACGCCAAATTCTGATATTACTGCAACACGTGCGTGGGGTGGAGGTGTCGAGGGTGCTCTAGAATCTCAGCCTCTGCGCAACTCGGAATCCCACAAACCCCTGGGTGCGGGAAAGACGCGACCCCGAGAATCACCCGCGTCATTTCCGGAGCGCGCTGGGAACTGCAGGCAACGGCTTGAAGCGAGCTGCCAGGTGGCCCTCTGGCGCCACCTGCCGGCCCTCCCCGTGCGTGGCAAGCACTGCCGCGTTCCGGTTGATCATCTGTCTGTTCCGCCACTGTTGAGCATCACCGCTGAAGTGGGAACTGTGGTTTGGTGTCAGGTCTTTCTGGGGGTTACTTTGGTGTCCGGAAAGGACGTTGGGCCACCTGTATATTGTCGCGAGTGGGAGCACGAGTTCTGCAGTCGGACATCGTGGCTTCCATTTCTATCTCCTCCGCCCTGGCTGTGTGGGCTCCCACAGCTCAGCTCACCTCTCTGGGGTTGAGTTCCTCATCCGTGAGTGGGAGCTACAGCACCCGTGTCATGAGAGCGCCTGAGGGGACGACAGGATGCTCTGACCTCTAAATAAACGTCGGTTCCATTATTGCTCCTGTTTTCTGTTTTCTTGTTTTCTGTTGTCTTGTTTTGTTTTTTGAAACAGGATCTCACTCTGTTGCCCAAGCTGGAATGCAATGGCGTGATCATGGCTCACTGAAGCCTTGAGCTCCTGGGTTCAAGCGATCCTCCCGCCTCAGCCTCTGGAGTAGCTGGGACTATAGGCACATCCCACCCCACCCAGCTAATTTTTTTTTTTTTTTTTTTTAAGTAGAGATGGGGTCCTGCTATGTTGCCCAGGCTGGTTTTAAACTCCTGGGCTCAAGGGATCCTCCCACCTGGGCCTCCCAGATTGTTGGGATTACAAGTGTGAGCCACCACGACTGGCTCCTAATTTTTACTTACTCTCTGTCTCTCCTCCTCTCGTGCCTCGTCCCTCAATGGAACGTAAGCTCCATGAGATTGGAGGCTTTGTTTCGACAGGTTCTGACAAATATACAGTATTGTATGATCACCACCACAATCAAGATCTAGGACAGTTCCATCCCTCCATAAAACTGCTCCGGCCTCTTATCAGCTTGCCCCATCACCCAGTGTCAGCAACCACTGATCTGTCTTCTCTCCCTATAGTTTTGCCTTTTCCAGAATTTCATATATGTGGAATTGCTATGGTTTGAATATTTGTCCTTCCAAAATCCATGCTGAAATTTAATCCCCAATGTGGCACTATTGAGAGGTGGGGCCTTAAAGAGGTGATTGGGACACGAGGGCTCTGTCCCCATAAATGAATTCATAGATGAATGGGTTACCATGGGAGTGGGACTGGTGGCTTTATAAAAGGAAAAAGAGAGACCTGAGCTAGCACACTCAGGCCCCTCACGATGCGATGCCCTGCACGGCTCCAGGACTTAGCAGGGTCCCCACCAGCAAGAAGGTTTTCACCAGATGCAAACCCTCAACCTCAGCCCTCTCAGCCTCTATGAGAAATACATTCCTTTTGTCAGTAAATTACCTGGTTTCAGGTACTCTAAGAAACAGAAAACAGACTGAGACAGGAATCCTAAAATATATATAGCATTTGTGTGACTTCTTTCACTTAAGCATGTTGCTTTTAAGATTTATTTACCTTTTTTTTTTTTTTTTTTTGAGACAAGATCTGGCTCTATTGCTCAGGCTGGAGTACAGTGGCATGATCTCTGCACTGCAACCTCCACTTCCCAGGCTCAAGTGATCATCTCACCTCAGCCTCCCAAGCAGCTGGATCTACAGGCATGCACCACTATACCCAGCTAATTTCTGTATTTTTTGTAGAGATGGGGTTTTGCCATGTTGCCCAGGGTGATCTGCCTCATCTTCAGCTGGTGAGCTGAAGCAATCTGCCTGCCTTGGCCTCCCAAAGTGCTGGGAGTACAGTCATGAGCCACTGTGCCCGGCCGTATGCCCACTTTTGTATCACTTGTTTGTTCCTTTCTATTACTGGTATAGTCGGGGTGCCCCATGGGAGTGGGTCCCATATTAGGGTTGTTCGCCAGTTTTAGGCTGCTATGAGCAAAATCCCTATAAACATTCACATACAAGCTTTTGTGTGAATATAGATTTTCATTTCCCTTGGGTAAATGCCTAGGTGTGGGAGTGCTGGGTCACATGCTAAGTGTATGCTTCCCTGTATACAAAACTGTGGAACTGTTTTTTCAAAGTGGCTCTAAAGGCAAATGATTTTCAGCTCTGAGCTTCTCTCCCTCCTTAGACTTCAGCTCTTTGTCCTAGGCACTGGGACACACCAACAACGAGAAGGAGCAAGTTCCTTTCTTCACTCAGGTTACAACTAGAGATGGAGACAGAAACACATGAGGAAACAATAAATAATATGTTGTCTCTAAAGAAATTTTATAAAGGCTGGGCACGGTGGCCAGCACTTTGGGAGGCTGAGGAGGGTGGACGGCCTGAGCTCAGGAGTTCGAGACCAGCCTGGGCAACATGGTGAAACCCCATCTCTGCTAAAATACAAAATATTAGCTGGCCGTAGCAGTGTTCACCTACAGTCCCAGCTACTTGGGAGGCTGAGGCAGGAGAATTGCTAGAACCTGGTAGGTGGAGGTTGCAGTGAGCTGAGATTATGCCACTGCACTCCAGCCTGGGTGACAGAGACTCTGTCTCTAAAAAAACGAAGAAAGAAAAGAAATTGTATAAAAAGAAAAAATAAGTAAATAAATAAGATGCTTTTGTCTACTATAGCAGCTATAGAGCGATGGGCTAGAAAGTGGGGCAGGAGACCTTTTCACGGAAAGATCCTGAGCTGAGACCTGAGGCTTTCCAGGCCAGGGCATGGTGAGAGCAAGGGTGTGCAGGCCACAGGGGGACAAGCTGGGTGTGTCCAGCAAATGTGCCTGGAGCTGGATTCAGTAGTGGGGGCTTCCATTGGAGAGGAAGCAGCATTGAGAGCTCGGTAGGAAGCTGGGGTTTATTCTAAGCCTATTTGGAAAGCATAGAAGGGTTTTAACCCATGGATTGTCTTTTTTTTCTTTTTGTTTGCTTTTAGACAGGGTCTTGCTCTGTTGCCCAGGCTGGGGTGCAGTGGCGCAATCTCAGCTCACTGCAGCTTCCACCTCCCGAGTTCAAGTGATTCTCCTGCCTCAGCCTCCGGAGTAGTTGGGATTACAAGTGCATGCCACCACGCCTGACTAATTTTTGTATTTTTAGTAGAGATGGGTTTTCGCCATGTTGGCCGGGCTGGTCTCAAACTCCTGGGCTCAAGAGAATTCCCTTCGGCCTCCCAAAGTGCTGGGATTACAGACGTGACCCATAGCACTGGGCCGGTCCCGGGTATTGTAATGATGTAAAAATCTCTCTCTAGAAAGGAGAATACTTCCCAGCTGATCTTCTGTAGCCAGTAGATGGAAGAGCAGCAGTTGAATTTTGAGGTTTGTTTTGGAGAAAGAACCAAAAGGAGATATGGATGGTTTGGATGTGAGGGAGGGAAAGAGAATCCTAAGTGTATTAGTAGTGGTGGGGAGGAGGCACAGTGGTGTCATTTGGAGAATAAATCGTTGGGGTTTAAGCTCTATGACCCAAAAGTCTCCCACAAGCCTGATACATTAGGCACAATGTTTGACTGCTCTAAGCCTTAGTTTATCGTCATAAAATAGGCCATGAAAATTGCATGAGATAATGTATATAACAGTTCCACAAATACTATTATATCTTCTGTGTGTTTGTTTTGTTTTTGAGATGGAGTCTCACTCTGTCACCCAGGCTGGAGTGCAGTGGCGCAATCTCTGCTCCCTGCAACCTCCGCCTCCCGGGTTCAAGCGATTCTCCAGCCTCAGCCTCCCAAAAAGCTGGGATTACAGGTGCGCGCCACCACGCACGGCTAATTTTTGTATTTTTAATAGAGACGAGGTCTCACCATGTTGGCCAGGCTGGTCTGGAACTCCTGACCTCAGGCGATCCACCGGCCTCGGATTACAGTGTAGGGATAACAGGCCTGAGCCATCAAGCCTGGGCAGTACTATTATATTGTTCACTGCACTCCCACAACACCCATAAGGGGCAGGTACTTTTCTTCCCCCACCCCCACGCCGCGCCAGGGACGGTCTCGCTCTGTCGCCCAGGCTGGAGTGCAATGGCCGGTTCAAAGCTCACTACAGCTGCGAGCTTCCGGCCTCAAGCGATCCTCCCGCCAGGGCCTCCCAAAGCCCTAGGATTACAGGCACGCGCCACCGCGCCCGGCTTTTTTTTCTTGCAGCTGAGCCTGGAGAGACTTTCCAATGGTCAGAGTTAAGCCGAAGGCACAAGGCGAATGAAATAATAGGCCCCGAGGCACCATTGCACGCCCCACCTCCTCCCAGGGGCGTTGCAAGGCAGCCCCTCCCGCACATGCGCACTGGGCCTTCCACAGCCCCCCGCCCCCAGCAAAGCCCCCCGCTCGGAGCATGCGCGGGCCGCTTGGCGCCAATTGCTGACCGCCACAGCCAGGACCAGCTTCGCGGGTTCCCCGGCGGCGCGCATTCGCTGCCTCCTCGGCTCCGGGATGATCGGCCAGAAGACGCTCTACTCCTTCTTCTCCCCTAGCCCCGCCAGGAAGCGACACGCCCCCAGCCCCGAGCCGGCTGATTTGGGGACTGTCGTGGTGGCCGTGGCTGAAGAGAACGGAGATGCGGCGGTGAGGCGCAGCGTGGGGCCGGGGCTGGGGTGGTGAAGGGGGAGGAAGGTAGTGGGCCCCGTCTGATTGAGGGCGTGCAGGAGCGCGCCTCTGTCTCCGTACCCTAGCTCCCCTTTCCAAACAGCCCCCACGTGTTCAAAACAGCCGCCGCGGTCACCCCTTGGGCCGCCATGCTGAGGGGTCAGCCAATGGGAACGCGCCTCGGGGCCCAGCGCGCCAATCCGCGCGCCGTAGGCCCGCCTTGCTCGGCCTGCTGTCCAATCAGAAGAGAGGGGGCGGGACCTAGAGGGAAGGTTTTTGCCGCGAAAAGGCCACGTGGGGACGCGGGGGGCGGGTCTGGCGGGGCGGGGTGTCTCTGTGCAGGGTCCCCAGTCCCCGCGATACCCCTCGGGACCCCGCGGGGACGCTTCCCAGCCCGTCTTCCCGCTCCAGTTTAGAACCTAACTCCCAATTCCCGGGCCAGGCCTAGCCCTGGGCTCCTATTGTCCGGTTTTTCTGAGTCCTCCACAAATGGGCATCTTCTGCCTTGGGCCGTGGGGGTTGGGCCGGAAGCTGCGGACGCCTGGGAAGGGGCCGCTACAGTTCTGGAGCCGCCTCTGCGGGGACTTCTTGCAGGCCAGGCCCGCCAAGAAGGCTCGGGCCGAGCAGGATGAGCCCGGGACGCCACCCTCCTCGCCGCTGAGCGCGGAGCAGTTGGACCGGATCCAGAGGAACAAGGCCGCGGCCCTCCTCAGACTCGCGGCCCGCAACGTGCCCGTGGGCTTTGGGGAGAGCTGGAAGAAGCACCTCAGCGGGGAGTTCGGGAAACCGTATTTTATCAAGGTGAATATGGAAATACACCTTCCATAAGGGTAAATGTGGAAGCTGCCGGCCCTTTGTCTTGTTAGTGTAGCCGGCCAAGTACACGTTTCCGTAGGCTCAGGTTGTACCCCCTTCAACGTCCTTTACTCACATAGGGGTTTAAGAAAGCCATGATGTTTTAATCTGCACCTTTATATTGGTTAAAGTTGTTAATGACCGGTGAGATGGTATCATGGCTTCATTTTAGCCACACAGTGTGCTGTCCAGGAAAGGCTGGCATAGTAAAACCACCAACCATCCTGAATGAAACCTGGCTTGACGTTTAAAAAGAAACGGGGAGCAGTGGCACTGTCAGGACCCAGCCCAGAGAAAGAGGCAGGGAATTGACCTGATTGAACCACTTAGGTGAGGGACAGGCACTGTTATAGTTTGTTGTTTTTTTAAAAAAAAAAAATTTGGATATAAAACATGACCAAGAACTAACGATGTTCCAAATAACATGCCCTAGAAGCTTTCTTATGAATTCTTATGGTTTCCAATGAGAATCTGATTTTAAGTCTAGTTTATCTTTAAATCAGCTAATGGGATTTGTTGCAGAAGAAAGAAAGCATTACACAGTTTATCCACCCCAACACCAAGTCTTCACCTGGACCCAGATGTGTGACATAAGAGATGTAAGTATAAGTTGTTGATGATTTTTATTGGGGAGAAGGAGTCAAATAGTATTTTTAAATTAGGGACACCGGAGTTAAGCCACAGTCCATCATTCAGTAGTAAATAAAACACTGAAATTGTGAGGTTTGGCTGACTGTATTTCAGCCTATATTTAGTCTTTTTAGTGTTTAACACGTGGTATTTATACAGCAAAAAGGAAAAATAAGTACATCCTATGCTCTTATTTCTTTTTTTTTGTTTGTTTTTTTTTTTAAATCTGGAAACCTCTCGCAGTGTTACATACTACGGTGGTGTCAATGAAGTTCAAACTGACACACAAAACAGTTCGATGTTTCACAGCTATAGTCAAACCCACCTTGACCTGACCATGCCGTCTTATAGTTAGCACTTTCAAGCTCTTTACTTTTGGCCTGAATGGTTTTATGGTTAACAGATCCCTTTGCTTTAGTTCATCTTACATAACAGTTGCTGCTTGTCGGCTCTCATCAGTCTCATGTTCAAAAGTCCGTGGGGCCGGGCACGGTGGCTCATGCCTGTAACCCTAGCACTTCGGGAGGCCAAGGTGGGAAGGTCACTTGACGTCAGGAGTTCAAGACCAGCCTGGCCAACATGGTGAAACCCGGACTCTCCTAAAATACAAAAATTAGCAAGGCAAGATTGGGCACGCCTGTAATCCCAGCTATTCTTGGGGTTGAGGTGGGAGAATCATCTGAACCCTGGAGGTGGAGGTTGCAGTGTGCCCCAGATCACACCACCACACTCCAGCCTAGGTGACAGAGCCAGACTCTGGTCTCAAAAAAAAAAAAAAAAAAAAAAAAAACTGTGGCTCTTTACTGTTGAACTATGAAAGCAGAGCAACCCTCTTTAAATAGGGCTGTGTCCTACCCCTCAGCCTTACCTCCAGCTCCCACTCCAGAGCTGGGCAGTGTGACAAACCCCTCCCGACACTTCTGTCTCTTAAAAATCAAGTGGATGCCTCTGTGGCGCCTCCTTGAATCCTGTTGCCTGCTATCTCTATGATCTGGTTTTCCTAAGATGCATTTAACACCTGCTGATATTGGATTTTAGGTTTCTTACCCATTTTCCTCCCCCATTTTGTAAACTGGGGCACGAATCTTGTGATTTAATGAATACCTGTGAAATGAAATAGAAGTGAAATAGTTGAATAAACCATCCTGATAAGGCAGCCACGCCTAATACTTAGAAAATCTTGGAAGCTTAATTTTAGAACATGAACTTGGAATCTAGCTCTTTGGTTTTGAAACTAAATTAAATCTCATTAAAATCAGTACTAGTTTGCTTCTTGTTTGAATGCCCTATTCTGAATACCAGTGATCAATATAAACCGAATATTTTGAGAGAATACTCAAAAACAAGTTTCAAACCTGTGAGGATCAGATGGGCCAGTGGGGCTTCTTGACAGACCAGCATTGGGAGAGTGTGGGAGTTTAGGTAGCTCACCCAGGATCCTCCCTCTAGGGCCAGAAGCCCTGAGCCCAAAAGCTGCCCTGCAGGGACGGGTTGTTTCACAAGAGAATAGGTTGGCATGATGTGAGCACCAAGGGGAAGGACAAGTGGTCCCCAAAAGTCTCCTGGACATGGGAACATCTGGAGCTGGATTCTGAAGGATAGAGCTCGTCAGCTATAAGGAAGAGTCTAAGGACACAATGAGCAGAAGCTTGAGAATGAAGACTAGATGGGTGGGCACTGGATGGAAAGGATGAGCTGGCCTGTGTCCCAACACTGACTGTAATCGGGACCTTATTTCATTGCCTCTTGCCACCTATTCCTACGGCCCTTTCTATCTGACCTCGTTCTCTTCTGGGTCTGCCTGTTAGAGGATATAGGGGAGCAGACACCCTCATATGCTGCTGGTGAGAAATCTGAATTGCTTTAACTTGTTGGAAAAATAACTAGGGGTCAGGCACAGTGGCTCATGCCGTAATCCCAGCATTTTGAGAAGCCTAGGAGGGGGAATTGCGTGATCTCAAGAGTTTGAGACTGGCCTCAGCAACATAAGGGAGACCCTGTCTCTACAAAAAAGAATGTTTTTAAATTAGGTGGGTGTCGTGGTGCACTCCTGTGGTCCCAGCTACTCTGGAGGCTCAGGTGGGAGGACCACTTGAGCCCAGGAGGGTGAGGCTGCCATGAGCTGTGATCACACCACTGCACTTCAGCCTGGGCGACAAAGCAAAACCCTGTCTCAAAAAATTAAAAAGGCAGCTAGGTACATATCTTTGAAAGTTTAAAATACGCTTATCCTTTGACCAGCAACTCTGCTGTTAGCAGTCTATGGCATAGAAGTGTTTCGTTTGTTTTGTTTATGTTTACGCAAAGGTCTATGCTGCCTACATTACAATATTTAATTCCTGACCCTTGGTGGTTTACAGGTGAAAGTTGTCATCCTGGGACAGGATCCATATCATGGACCTAATCAAGCTCACGGGCTCTGCTTTAGTGTTCAAAGGCCTGTTCCACCTCCGCCCAGGTACAGATGCTTTACAGATGACTGCAATCCATTCGTGATTCCTTTCAGATGTGTACTTAGCCTATTACAAGTGGGACTATCTCAGGCACTTTCACCAGCCTTGGAGGAGGATTTCTCAACCTCAACACCATTGACACTTGGAGCTGAGTCATTCTTTGTTGTGGAGGAGGAGAGGAGTCCTGTGCTATTGTGGGATCTTGAGCTGCATCCCTGGCCTCTACCACTGGATGCCAGGAGCAACCCCCAACTCATGACAATGGAAAATGTGCACACATTGCCAAAAGTCCCTTGGAGGGGGTAAAATCATCCCTGGTTAAGAACCACTGCTTTGGGCTGGGCGCAGTGGCTCACCCCTGTAATCCCAGCCCTTTGGGAAGCTGAGGTGCATGGATCATGAGGTCAGGAGTTGGAGACCAGGCTGGCCAACATGGTGAAACTCCGTCTCTACTAAAAATACAAAAATTAGCCGGGCGCGGTGGCAGGCACCTGTAATCCCAGCTACTCGGGAGACTGAGGCACGAGAATCACTTGAACCCAGGAGGCGGATGTTGCAGTGAGCCAAGATCACGCCACTATACTCTAGCCTGGGTGACAGTGCGAGACTCTGTCTCAAAAGAAAAAGAAAAAAAAACACTGCTTTGGAGGATTTGGTGTGTAATATATATACATAAATACGCTAAGGACAGAAAACTGTCACTGAGCAGCAGTGGGGTTGGGGTTGTAACTGCTGCGTTGATTTACTTATGTTTTCCTAAGTGCTCTTCCAAGCATGGACTAAAGTAAAGGCCTTTGGCAGATGGACCTGTTAGATGGAGGACTGGTGCCATATGTGCCAGTGTCCCTTCCAAAGGCTGGCTATAACTTCTAACCTTTTCACATGTGTCTTAGACGTTACTGAACTTTCAAATTATGCCTAAGATTCTGATTTTTGTTTTTCTTGTGGCTTGCTTTCAGTTTGGAGAACATTTATAGAGAGCTGTCTACAGACATAGAGGGTTTTGTCCATCCTGGCCATGGAGATTTATCTGGGTGGGCCAAGCAAGGTAAGCCAGCTGCTGCTAGATCTTTTTTGTTTGTTTGTTTTTGTTTTTTCTTTTGAGACTGAGTCTCACTCTGTTGCCCAGGCTAGATATATTGCAGTGGTGTGATCTTGGCTCACTGCAATCTCTGCCTCCGGGTTCAAGCGATTATTATGCTTCAGCCTCCTAAGTAGCTGGGACCACAGGCATGAGCACCATACCTGGCCAATTTTTTTTTTTGGTATTTTTAGTAGAGACAGGGTTTTACCGTGTTGGCCAGGCTGGTCTCGAACTCCTAACCTCAGGTCATCCACCCGCCTCAGCCTTCCAAAGTGCTGGGATTACAGATGTGAACCACCACTCCTGGCCTGCTGAATGTTTTTTAGACTAATACCGAGAGTCTTTTCTGTCTCGTTTATATTTTTAAAGGGTTGTAATAAAGAACTAGAGAATGCTAATAATTAAGTGACTAATTTATAGATGAAAAAAAAATCTGTTTTATCCTGCAGCCAGTGTTTGCTTGCTTGCTTGCTTTTCTTTTTTTTTTTTTTCTTTTCTTTCCTTTTTTCTTTCTTTTTTTTTTTTTTTTTTCTGTTTTTGAGACAGAGTCTCACTCTGTCACCCAGGCTGAAGTGCAGTAGTGTGATCATGGCTCACTGTAGCCTCAAACTCCCAGGCTGAAGTGATCCTCCCACCTCAGCCTCCCAGGTAGCTGGGACCACAGGAGCATACCACTGTGCCTGGCTGATTTTTAAAATTATTTTGTAGAGATGGCTACTATGTTGCCCAAGCCAATCTTGAACTCCTGGCCTTGAGACCCTCCCAGGTGCCAAGTGCCTGGCCACTTATGTTAATTACAGTTTGCAAGACAAAGATTTGTTCCTTGTTAATATTTTAAATTTATCCATTTCACTTCTGACTACTCTGAACGTGGCCATAGTCTGTTCATTTTGACATTTGGGTTGTTAATACCTATCTGGGAGATTTTTCTTTTAATTATTTTCATGTTTTTTTCTTATTTCTTTACAGATGCATTTTTTCTGCTTATGTACCTTTTTTTTTTTTTTTTTTAAACTGTACAAGCAGGATACGGAAAGAATGTTCACTCTTTGATTTCTTTCTATTTGATTTTCATTTATGTGAAACATTTTGGCCTGCTTTTTGTGTTCTGTGTTATTTAATATCACTTAGGATATTTTTTAGGACAATCCCTCTTGACAAAGGATATAAGGCATGTTCACTGCAGTAAAATTGGAAGAAGCCGAAAGGGCAGCGGTGAGAATAGAACTCTCTAATCCTGTGCAGAGGTCACTGCTGGCCGTACGGCCTATTTCATTCAGCTGCACTGGATCCCATCAAGCACGGGTTTCATTATGGATTTAGCCCCTATTGCTGGGTATGGGGCTGATTTGCCTGAGCCTGCATTTAACCTATTTCTCTCGTGTGTGTAGGTGTTCTGCTACTCAACGCTGTCCTCACGGTTCGGGCACATCAAGCCAACTCTCATAAGGAGAGAGGCTGGGAGCAATTCACCGATGCAGTTGTGTCCTGGCTAAATCAGAACACGAATGGCCTTGTTTTCTTGCTCTGGGGCTCTTATGCTCAGAAGAAGGGCAGTGCCATTGATAGGGTATGTTTTTTTTTTTTTTTTAAAAAACACCTTGAAACAAAGTAAAGGGTTCTAGGTATCCCAAATATATTTTCCCTTAGGCCTGTTTATAAGGGTTTCCCATTGAAAACTGAGAAGAATTTAGACAAATTGTAGGAGTGATGAGTTGTGTATGAGGAAAGCAACTGGCCAGCTTGACTGAGTGCAGCTGGTGCTGTAGGCAGTAGAGACGGGGTTCACCGTGTTGGCAAGGCTGGTCCTGAACTCCTGACCTCAAGTGATCTGCCCACCTTGGCCTCCTAAAGTGCTGGAATTACAGGAGTGAGCCACTGCACCTGGCCAGGTTGAGCACTTTGCATGCAGTATCTTACTTGACTCAGAAGGGCTTTGAGGTTGCCATACACTTGTATGAGTGACCTAAGATCTGATGTGTATGAACTGGTGAGATCTGATTATCTAGTTATGTAAGAAGTGTGCGTGGGAGTAATTGCTAATCTCTATCTCCTAGGGAGGCTTTGGCCAGTGTTGTTTTTACTCAGTATATTGGTAGTCTTTAATCATGCTTTGGTCTGAAAGGAAACAGTTAAAGTAGCTTGATCATTAAAGGCAAGTGGCATATCTCCAGCCCAGTGTCTGTCCTGATCTATAGCGTACCTTCTTACTATTAACATACCAAATCCAACATTTTCCAGACGAAATTTCTCCTTTCCTCATCCATGCCTCACTAAACTTGCTTCTCTGTACTCCCTAGCAGTGAAAAGCACCACCATCTGCCTGGTTGTCCAAGCAGAAATCTGATTCCATTACTGACACCTGCCTACCTTTCCACCCTCTTCTGTCTTTTTTTTTTACCCCCTTCCCATATACAATCAGTCATTCATATCTGTGTTATTTCTTCCCCCTCCAAGTCTGTCCCCGCCTGACCACCTTTGCCTTCATTCAGGCCTTCACCTCATCTTCCCTGGAGGGTTCAGTGGCTGAAGAGCTGATTTTGGCGGCAGGGGTGGCCCCCAGCCTTAACTTTATCCCTGTTTGCACTCCAATTGCTAGGCTGACCCATTCCCCTTTCCTTTTTCACTGTGCCCCACTTCCCTGCCTTTGCCTACCCTGCTTGCTCTGCTCACGTTGTAGAGGTCATTTTCTTCTGAGCTCAGCAAGGCTGACATTTAAGGGGCCTGTGCTGCTTGCGTGTGTGTTCAGTGTTTGATGTCCGTGACTTCTAATAACACTCAGCACTCGGGATCCCCCTTTGATTTGTCACAGTAACTTCATAAGCTGGGCGCTATTGTTATTCCCAGTCTACAGATGAAAACTGAAGCAGCTGAGTTGCAGCAACTTCCATGTGGTACAGCTACTGACTGGCAGAGATAGGCCTCGACCCCAGGCAGTCAGGCTCCAGGCTCTGTGTCCTTCACCACACTGGGCTGCTCGGCTTTAATCACCCCACATCACCCCTCCTGGACCGACCCCTTGAAGGCAGCAGTATTTTAAGAAACAGTGATTTGTTTGTTAGTTTTTATACATATACAGAAAAGAATTAAGAAGAAAGCAAAAATGAGCTGTATCCCCCTGTTGAAATACCTATAGTTGACATTTTTAAAAAACCAAAGTAGTCATGTGCCATATAATGATGTTTCAGTCATAAACTACATATATGATGGTGGTCCCATAAGATTATAATATTGTATATTTACTGCATGTTTTCCACATTTAGATACACAAGTACCTACCATTGTGTCACAGTTGCTTACAGGATTCAGTACAGTAACGAGCTGTACAGGTTTGTAGCCAGGAGCGATAGGCTACACCATATAGCCTAGTGTAGTAGATTATCCTGCCTGGGTTTGTGTACAGACACCCTATGGTGTACACATAGCAGTGAAACTGCCTAACAGCACATTTCTCAGAATGTATTCCTGTCATTAGGTCAGGTATGACTATTGCTTTTTTTTCTTTTGAAACAGGGTCTTGCTCTGTCACCCAGGTTGGAGTGCACTGGCCCAATCTCAGCTCACTGCAGCCTTGACCTCCTAGGCTCAAACAGTCCTCCCACCTTAGCCTCCTGAGTAGCCGGAACCACAGGCATGCACCACCATGCTGGCTAATTTTGTGTTTTTTGTAGAGACAGGGTTTCCCCATGTTGCCCAGGCTGGTCTTGAATTCCTGGACTTAAAACGATCCTCCTGCTTCAGCCTCCCAAAGTGCTGGGATTATAGGCCTGAGCTACCACACCTGGCTGCCAACTATTCCATTTTTGTGGTGAAATTTCTTGTTTTTTGTTTTTTTGTTTTTAATTCTTCCTTAGGAACTGTAAGACTCTTCAACCAGTTCAGAAAGGCACAAATTGGAAAGTAAATGGCTTCCAGTGTTTCTTTCCCTTAAAGGAAATACAAAATACAGTGTCTTGAGTTTTTTTCTAAAGTTTTTTAAAAATGAAATTATTTTGCATTTTGTTTACTTGATAAATTTTGGTGGTCATCTCATATCAGTATATTTATCTCTCACATGTTTTTCTAGGAGTTAGGTGGTGTTACACTGTAAGAACTTTAGTTCTATAACACTGGATTGTATACTAGGTTTTAGCTGACACAAGGAGCACGTCAGTGAATCCCTTTATATGTACCTATTTGTGTAGGTACACCTGGTCCCTGCCTTATGAAGTTTGACTTGATTTTTTTTTTTTTTTTTTTTGACTTTACACTGGTGCATAAACCATACTTGGAGCACTCATACTTTTTTTTACTTTTTTTTACTTTTTTTTTTTTCTTTAAGAGAGAAGGTCTCTTGGCTGGGAGCAGTGGCTCATGTTTGTAATCCCAGCACTTTGAGAAGCCACGGTGGGCGGATCACTTGAACTCAGGAGTTTGAGAACAGCCTGGGCAACATAGAAAGACCCTGTCTCTAAAAAACAAAAAATTAGCCTGGCGTGGTGGCATGCACCTGTGATTCCAGCTACTCAGGAGGCTGAGGTGGGAGAATCGCTTGAGCCTGGGAGGCAGAGGCTGCAGTGAGCCACAGTCATGCCACTACACTCTATGCTGGGTGACAGAGTGAGAACTCGTCTCAAAAAAGACCTTGCCCTGTCACCTAGGCTGGAGTGCAGTGGCATGATTATAGATAGCTTTCTGCAGCCTCGAACTCCTGGGCTCAAGTAATCCTCCCGCCTCTGTCTCCTGTGTAGCTAGGACTCCAGGTGCGCGCCATCGTACTTGGCTAACTTTTAAATTTTGGTGTAGAGATGGGGTCTTGCCATGTTGCCCAGGCTGGTTGTGAACTCCTGGCCCCATGCAGTCCTCCCACCTTGGCCTCCCAAAGCACTGGGATTGCCGGTGTGAGCCACCATGACGGGCCCCATTCTATTTTTCACTTTCAGTACAGTGTTCAATGAGTTACATGAAGTACTCAACACTTTATTATAAAGTAAGCTTTGTTTTGCCCAGCTGTAGGCTGGTGTAAGTGTTCTGAGCATATGTAAGGTAGGGTAGGTTAGGCTGTGATGGTCAGCAGGTTATATGTCGTAAATGCATCTTCGACTTAGGATATGTTCTACTTAGGATGGGTTTTCCACGGTGTTAACCCCGTCCGTTGTATTAATAAGTTGAGGAGTTACCTGTGTATGTATGCATCATGATGTCCTTTAGCAAATACAATCTTAGCAGTGGAAATTGCTGGCTATATGATAGGGGTACTCAAAAATCGCGTAATTGCCCATTTGAAGGCTGAGGCTGGTCCTCTTTGCATCTCAGAGCCTAGCAAAGGTAGGTAGCTACTCAACAGATGGACTTACCCTCTAATGCAAATACTGAGTGCTCCGCTTAGGGAAGTGAGAGAATTTACAGAGGGCAAAGGGGAATTGCATAGGGTCTTAAAGTGCCCCAGCCACAGTCCTTTTTAAAAAAAAAAAAGTCCCAAGTCTACCACCTTTTATTCTTGATCTTTTTCAGAAGCGGCACCATGTCCTACAGACGGCTCACCCCTCCCCGTTGTCAGTGTATAGAGGGTTCTTTGGATGTAGACACTTTTCTAAGACCAATGAGCTGCTGCGGAAGTCTGGCAAGAAGCCCATCGACTGGAAGGAGCTGTGATCGGCAGCTGAGGGGTGGCCTGTCTCCACTGGTTTCTTTTGAGAAGCTGCTGTTAACGTTTTTGTCAGTTATGAAGTTCCACTGAAAATTTTCCTGTTAATTCTTAAATACTCTGCATAAGGAGGAAAAGCTTCCAAAAAGCAGCCATGAACCAGGCTGCCCAGGAATGGCAGCTGTATTCAGCCACAAACAGCAAAGGCTACCCTTTGACCAAATGTCTTTCTCTGCAGCATGGCTTCAGCCTAAAATACGCCAACTTGTCAGAAGACAGATGAGGTCAAATACTCAGTTGGCTGTCTTTGTCTCCCTTGCCTTTTATGGTGGACGGGAGAACATGTGCACCTTTTAGGCACAGCCCTAGTTTGGTGCCTGCTGTTCGTAGTTTTGCCTGTTTCAGTGACAGGTGTTGGGGTGTTATTGCTTAGAAAGGTACCCTTGTCTCAGCCCTGCAGGGCAGGCATGCCAGTCTCTGCCTGTTCCACTGTCCCCTTGATCTTTGAAGGAGTCCTCAGGCCCCTCAAAGCATAGGGATGTTTTGCAAGTTTCCAGAACCTGGCCCAGAATTTAGGGCTCAATTTCTTGATTGTAGTAGAGGTGAAGATGCTAAGATTGCTGTGAGCCCTATCAGATGGGCTGAGGGAAGTAAGCTGGGTGTTGTCCCTTGAGTGTCGGTGGAATAAGCAGTGGAATTTGAACAAAGAAGAGGAGAAGAGGGAATTTTGTCTTTATGGGGTCAGGATGATTTTCTCCTCGGGTTATCTCCAGTTGGGGTTTTGAGGGCACCATGGACTGTCAAGTGCTTTTTTTTTTACCAACTGAAATCACTTTGGGATATTTTTTTCTGCAACACTGGAATGTTTTAGTTTTTTAAGAAGTACTCATGCAGATATATATATATTTTTTCCCAGTCCTTTTTTTAAGAGACAATATTGGGTCTACACCTTGATCTTGTTAGTGATGCTGTTTTTGCTGTTAGTCGGGTTAGAGTTGGCCCTACGCAGGGTTTGGTAATAAAAGATGGTTAAAAATTTCTCTGTCAAGTGTCCTTTCCATGTCCGGGCCGCAGATCTGTGGACGTCCTTGGGCTGCCCTTGCCTTTGGCGCATGCCGGGGTCCCCATAGCAACCATTGTCTGCGGGAGGGGCTGCCCTTGCTACTCCCCATCCCCCCTGCTTGGTGGAGCCGCCCATCCCTCCGCTAGCTGCGGTGAGCGCTGGGTCCCACCCCCAGCCTGGAGCAGCGCCGCTACTCCAGCACCTTGGAGGGCTGACAGCCTGGTTGCGGTCAGTCAGCCGAGACCCCAAAGGCGCCTTAGCAGAGTATTTCTTCGGAGAACATGGCATGCCGGTCATGGCTGCATTCTGCCAAGCCCTGTGGTCGTTGAGGGAAGCCTCCTCCATCCCCTCTCAGCCCGTATTTCTAGACTCCGAGACATCTGGAACTCGGGGGTGAGGCCAGGGCTTCGGGAAGACTCCCTAGTGGCACACTGGCCCCCAGCCCAGGCTCAGATAGTGGGGGACCGTCAGGTTGCTCTGTGGGATCCCCCAGAGTCCGAAGAAGGAAGCCACAAGTGTGCTTTTTTTTGAGGAGCCTGGCTCTTTCGCCCAGGCTGGAGTGCAGTGGTGCAATCTCGGCTCACTGCAACCTCCACCTTCAGGGTTCAAGTGATCCTCTCACCCCAACCTCCCAAGTAGCTGGAATTACAAGCTGCACCACCACGCCCGGCTAATTTTTGTATTTTTAGTAGAGACGCTTTTAACTAAATGGGCAAGAAAGAAGGCATCCAGCCAGAATCTCAAGATTAGCAACTGCGTTTCTTAAAAGGTCAGGGAGAGGAGACCTTGAAAGTTTGGCTTGAAAATACAGCTTCCTTTCTTTATGTATGTTGGGAAGGGTTTATCATTCTGCATTTTGTGGTCAGCAAACAGGCTTTCAGGAGGAGGATGCATGGTCGTTTTGCCCTCTGGTAACTTTGGGATCTTCCTCTAAACAACAGTGGCTCCCTTTAGCCAAAGGAGAAGTGAAGGGAAAATTGTTCTACACCAGTTAGCTTTTCACACTTCTCTCCCAGTGCGGCACTGGGAGCAGTGAGCTCCAAGTTTCCAGGAATAATTCAAAACACAGTTATTTGGATTTTAAATGTATATATATGTAATTCAATATATACATATATATGAATATATGTATATTGAATATAGTATATATATACATATATTGTATATATATAGTGTCACCACATGACTAAAGTTCAATGTATATGCTATATATGTATATGTATACATATTGAACTTTAGTCATGTGGTGACATTAGAACACAGAGCAGCTTCTTAAGTGGTCTATGACCCTCGGAAAATGTAATCACTGATTCTTTAGAAACGAGGCAACTCGTTTTGATGAACTCTTAGCTATGTGATAGTTGCTTTTTTCTTGTGTCAAGTCTATATTCCTGTACTCAGTATGCAAAGATGCACAAAAGACCATTTTAGCCTTTTAGGTCAGAGGTTGACAAACTTTCTGTGAAGGGTCAGATGATAAATATTTGTGGGTTTGCAGTCACCCGTTCTCTGTGGGAACTGCTCAACAACTCATTGCACAGAAAGCAGCCATGGGCAAAATGTACAGGAACAGGTGAGGTTATGTTCCAATAAGACTTTTTAAATTTATGGACACTGAAATTTCCATTTAACATAATTTTCATGTGTCATGAATTTTTTTTTCTCCTAAGCATTTAGCAAATGTAAAAACCACTCCTAGCTTAGGAGCTATAGGAAAACAGGCATCTCCAGCCATGGTCTACAGACCCCTGTGTGCGCCCACCATCCGTGTGATGGGAACAAAAAGGCAGCAACAGCTAGGTCAGCCCAGGAAAGAAGAAATTTCCCAGTGGAGAGAATGTCTGAGTGGATATTGAAGTTTCCAGCCACGAAGAGGAACATGTGCATTCAACACTGAGGAGCTGGCCTCTGCAAAGTCAGGACCCACGTGCTGGGTGTGGAGCTGGAAGCTTCCACGTGGCAAGGTTTGGGGAGGCTTCTGAGAACCTGGTGGAATGATTCCTGTTTCCTCCCTTCCCAGGTGAGTTAGAGCTCTGAAAGCTTTTGGAATTGGTAATACAAGGAAGTCAGTTATTAATGTTGAACTGGAAACCTCTGGTTTAAGACAATAATTAATTGTGTGAAAGTCATTGACTGCTTTTGATTTGCATCCAAGCAGGGCAAGGTCAGGGACTGTAAATTGTTTGCATTTAAAAAAAATAGACTTTAGCATGTTGCTAGTATGTTTGCATTATTAGATAATACATCTCTCTGTTAAAATTCACTTTCTGCTTCAGTTTGTTCTTCATATAAGTCTTAGCAAAGGTTTGAAGGAGAAGCAAACTTTTTGTTGTATGCATGTGGTGTTGGCTTTTCAACCTTGCCAAACCTTCAAGATATACAAGGAAAAACAGGTTGGGGGGAGGTGCTCTGGGTAACTTTGAAGGGACCTCACATGTTGGCTTGTGCTGACTCAAGCTGAGAAAACTAGAAGATTCCCCTGCTGGAGATGGCCTCCTTGTCTAGAGTCCTTCTGACACTGTAATTTGGGTCCAACAACATAAAGCTTATGTTTAACATTGTAGTTTAACTCAATGGGAACCAATTTTTGTTTTTATTTTTTTGAGATAAGAGTCTCACTCTGTGGCTTAGGATGGAGTGCAGTGGCTTAATCATAGCTCAACTTAATGCAGCCTCAACTTCCTGGGCTCAGGCAATCCTCCTGCCTCAGCCTCCTGAGCACCTGTGACCACAGGTGTGCACCACTGTACCTGGCTAAGTTTTTAATAGAAGTGGGGTCTTGCTATGTTGCCCAGGCTAGGGAACCGGTTTTTAAATTTTTGAAATATGCTTGGAAATATAAATATTGGTGAGGGGAGCAGACCAGGAGATGGATAATTTTTGTTCTCTGCTTCTTAGTTGTGTATATAGTATGTTCTTTTGTCTCTCTCAATGATGTTTGTGATGAAGGTGTGGGAGAGGAAGGTAGGGAGGCTTCCAACAAGAGGCTAGTGCTCCTCCAGTCTAGAGAAACTAAAACGTACAAAAGTCAGACCCCATCCCTGGAAATTCTGATTTAATTGGTGGGGGAAGGCATCTGGATTCTCATAAAGGGTCTGGTTTGCAGCAGGACTGGTGATTTTTTCCAGGTGCCTTGTTTTGTTAGACCATGTGGTCACTTAATAATTTTGGGGGGCCAGGTGCAGGGCTCACACCTGTAATCCCAGTGCTTTAGGAGGACGAGGCAGGAAGATCGCTTTAGGCCAGGAGTTCGAGACCATCCTGGGCAACATAATGAGACCTTGTGTCTAAAAAAAATGTTTTTTAATTAGCCAGGGGTGGTGTGTGCCTGTAGTTCTAGCTACTTGGGAAGCTGAGGCAGGAGGATCATATGATCCCAGGAGTTCGAGGCTGCAGTGAGCTACGATCCATCCAGCCTGGGCAACAGAATAAGATCCTATCTCTAAAACAAAACAAAACAAAAAATGTAACTTGATGCCTGTGACTTTCTGAAACTAAGAGCTGTTTGAAGAAATACATTTCTATTACTGTTCCTGTGTTTGATGGAAAGAGTTTATGAATAACATTGTTTTCAAGCCTTCCAATTATATTCTAGAAAATACCTGGGTCTTAAAGAGATAGAGTCTAGGAGAACTGAACCACTGCAGAGTTCTTCCTTGGTATGTGTGGGTATGTCTAGGCTTTTTGAAAGTAATTAATTTCATTAGAAAGATAGTAAGTGCTTGTCATGAGCAAGCCCCTGTGCCAGAAGCTCAATACCAGTCATTTCATTTTCTCAACCATATGGTGAAGTAATTGATCAGGACACTGAAGCTCATCCATTTGCTCAAAGTCACGGCTCATGGAGGGAGGATTTGAACCCACATCAGCCTGATTTCAAAGCCTAATAGTCTTGCCACCGTCAACACCCTGCCTAGATCACAGTTATTTGGAATCATTGTGAAGGAATTTTTTTTTTCATATCATGAAAGCCTAAGAATTTTTTTCAATGGAATTTTATAAAAGTGTCCTTGAATCACAGATGGCTCTCCCTAGAAACATAGGTTTGTTTGAGAATCACCTCTTTCGTTGTCTTTTTTTTTTTTCCTGG